CCATGAGGTCTCTCATTCCACTTGTCGACCTTCCTAGCAAGTCGGTGCATTCTCTATCCCAAAGTGTTATGGTGGTGTAGTCGGTAGGGTCCATAACCAACACATTGATCCTATACCTATAAGTATGGATCAACTCATTATAATATGTTGCTTTGTTTTAAGGTCAGAGATACTAAAAATTTAAGAATCATCCAAACCTATAGTTTCCTTCTGCTGTTATCTTGTTACACCCAGAACAACGAAATCGTGATTCCTCTTTATTGACCTTTTTGTTGCATGATGCACAGCCCAAGTAAAACCAATTCTTGTAATTTTTGATATCCACAATCGTAGCCAAAATCCAGTAATGCCCTGCCTGTTATATGTAGATACATTTTTTTGATAAGTATTCATTCTGCAATGCTTGTCATTCCAATGTATTGTTCTTTTTCGATTGCAAGATAACAATATTATCCAAACTGTTTGTATAATCTTACTTCATTTCTTGAAAGTAATTCCTCAATGCTTAATACTTCCAATCTACCACTTTGTATTTCCTGAGACATGCTGCTCTCTGACTGGCTTTGAGAATTCCCACAGCTCAAAGTTATACTGCCAGTTGATGTCTTCATCCTACAAAGTAATTATAATATAGTGCAAATATAAAAAGAGTTTTGGTTCTTATACACAATTACACTTATAAGTGATATGCTGTTTTTTATGTACACTCATATTCTTTACACATACTTGTTTTTAAAATCTCGAATGGAAGCATTTTCATTGTCAAAAATCAACCTTGTTGCGTGAAATGCCGTTGAAATGCACATCTCACCTGGGAGTATACAATACTATTAGATAATGAGTTTTCAACCATATTTTACTGGTAACATTAAGCAAGATGTTTGTAATACATAGTCCATACCTAGATATGGCTTGACCCTGCACAATTGAATAAGTACAATTAATGGTTCATTCAAACCCAATCCAACTTGATCCACCATCTGCGCCACATATTCTCCCCATAATGTGCATCGGAGTTGGAAACCCCTGTCATTTAGATGCAAATTGTCAGTCTTTATCACAAAAAGCTTATT